TTTTTTTTTTTTTTTTTTTTTTTTTGTAGCTTAAAAAAGTTACAAAGTTCTAATTAATATTATAATTTTATGTAAATGAGTGCTTTGCCTCCTTGTAGGCCTGTGTACCACATACTTGTCTGGTAACTTCAGAGGCTAGAGGAGGGCATTAGATTCCCTTAAGACTGGAGGTACAGCTGGTTGTGAGCCATCATGCAGGTACTGGGAATCGAACCAGTGTGTCTTAACTGCTTAGCCATCTCTCCGTCCCCTCTAATTTGTTTTTGCAACTTTGTTAGACTTATAATTTATCTCAAAAAATTGTAAAGCTATGCATAGTTTTCTATGTCTATAATTCTAGCACTCAGTAAGCTGTTCCAGGCCAGCCTCAGTGCCATAGAGAGATCCTGTTCCCACCAAACAAAGTATGGGGGACTATCTCTGTCTCTGTGCTTTATCTTCTAAGTCCATTGTAGATGTTCCCTTGAGACTAAATCTCCTAGCATCCTACCCTTTGAATTTTCTGTCTCCCAAAAATAACCATTTCTGAGCCTCTAAAAAGAATTACCACGTGTAGTGCTAGATGTAGTGGTGCATGCCTTTAATTCTTACACTCTGGAGGCAGTCTGGAGGATGTAGTAGTGCATGCCTTTAATTCTTACACTCAGGAGGCAGTCAGGAGGATCTCTTGAGTTCAAGCCAGCCAAGACTACATAATGAGGCCCTGTCTCAAAAATCAAAAGAAACAGATTAAAAAAATGATGTTTATCTAATGTGAGTGTACACTTGTGCCGCTGTAAATGCATGCAAGCCAGCGGACAGCCAGAACTTTGGTCTGGTAGTAAGCACCTTTACCCACTTAGTCATAGTACTATTACAATACAAAAAACTTGGTAGTCTGCTTTCCTGCTGGACTGTATTCTCTAGAGATGGGAAAGACAACTAAACTAAACAAAAAGGAAATAGTTAGGCTTTTTGTGAATTAACGGTTGACTGAAGGCAGTCTGGTATGACAGCTCATTCCTCTGAGATCTAGTCTGCCCTATTTTGTCCAAACATGCGGCCTTGAGTCTGTGCTTCTGGCCTGAGTCATTTATTGTCTGCTACTAATCTGTATTATCACTTTGTCCATCCATAGCAAAACTTTAGATCATTCCTTTGGTCTTTACTTCTTGCTGCTGTGCCCAGTTTTGTATGTTGAACATTATTTGTCTTTTCAGAACTCAACAGTGACAATTGAAGAATTCCATTGCAAGCTCCAAGAGGCTACAAACTTTCCTCTTCGTCCATTTGTAATTCCGTTTCTCAAGGTAATTCAGAGGCATTCATTATAATTTATCATCAGCATTTCTCAGGATCTGCTGACCCCTGCTCCATGCTCTCAGAGCAGCTTGCTGCAGTGTCTTATCTTTGTTTTATCTGGTGCTAGTAAACAGTGTGCAAATTAGCCTCTTCCGTGATGAGAACTGCAGTGTTTTGAATGATTTCTGTTCACAAACACTATAGGTAGCATACAGGAGCAAGTAAAGGAATAAGGAGAGAAGAAAGGACTGAAATGTGAAAGTTTGTGGAAGTGGAGGAAATACCACTAGATCTTTTGGGTGTGGTCTGAAGAGGAAAAGTATGTGTATCTGCAAGGAGACTCTCCAAAGAGAGGCTTGTGCAGTTGTTTCAGGAGGATGTGAGAAGGCAGTGGCTGTGTCTCCTCAAACCCCAGATAATACAGTCTAATTCATGTCCTCTAGAATTATTGTTTCTGGAACACACCTTTTGGGCACGCAGTTCTAAATTACCACGCTTCCTTTCTTAAAAGTGTTTTCATTTTGAAGTAATTTCATGCTCACAGATAAGCTGTAAAAGGATACTGTCTCAAAACCAGTTTTCCAAACAGTATCATTTCATAGTCGTTTCCTATTTTTCTTCTGAAATTAAAGAGAGCTGTAGATGTGATACATCTAAATTTCCAAATCAAGAATTTTCTTTTTTCTTAATACTAGGGACCCAACTTTGGGCTCCAAGCATGCCAAACAAGGGCTTTCTCAAGGCATGGTGTCCAGAGCCCGTTAGCACTCAGAAAACACTGGGTGTCTAATGTACAGACCTTACGTATGTTTAGCACTGTCCCACTAATGCTCTTCACAGCAAAATTCAGCCTTTATGTGTGTGCTTTAATAAATTGATGTATTCTTTAGTCATACAAAACAGTCTGGTAAAGGAAGTTAGGAGTGAGGGCCTTTCTCCCCAACATCATTCAAGACTAGAGATTGAGGAAAATTCTAAAATCTTCAACCTGTGGCTTGCTAGATGATTGAACACAAATTCAGTCAGCTGACGACTAGGGTGAGATAGAGAGAGAGAACTAGAGAGAATGCTTGCCTATAAAGGATTTTGAAGGAGTCAGGTGAGATTGGCACCTGTGTTTGTCTATGACTCCCTGTGTCTCTATCTCTTCATTGTTCAGGACTTAGTCACATGGTATCACCCAGTTACAGCAGAGGATAGAAAATCTAGGCTAGAAGCTAGGAGAAAAGAGTTTGTTATTTATTTGGCTCACCAATTTCTGCCACGGATGCTATTTGAGGGCTGTTTCTTCTCCTTTTGCCTACTGGCCTTCTCTCATACAACTGAGGTAGGTACGGGGAGGAAATATCTTTGCATCCCAGTGGTCTAGCTAGTCTTTGTACCTTTGCTCTTACTTTTTCTACTCCGCTAATATATGTAGTATCTGAAAAGGGCTTGAGGGACAAGTAGTCCCTAATAAGGAGCATAAGGAAAAAATGTGGCATGGCACCAGAACCACAAATTCAGAATTCTTGTCTGCCCAGAACACAAATCCTGTAGCAAAAAGTAGTTCCTGATCTTGATGCCCTTAAAAGACTAGACCTTTTGTGTGAAGTACTTGCCACTATTAATGATGCTTTTGCTATCTCAGAAATGGAGAGATGCATTCTAAAAGACTTTTTTTTGTTTTGTCAATGTTTTGGGGACAGGGTTTCTCTGTGTAGCCCTGGCTGTCCTGGATCTCACTCTGTAGACCAGGCTGGCCTCTAACTCAGAGATCCACACGCCTCTGCCTCCTGAGTGTTGGGATCAAAGATGTGCTCCACTATGGCTCTGCTTCTCTGGTGAAGAACCATGTTTTTTGTTGAATGTGGGGAGCATGGTCCTGGGTCTATATTTAATCATAGTTCCACATTGTGTAGTATTAATCTGGATCAATTTCTCAAATTTTAATGAGTGTTACAGCTTGGAATAATTTTATTTTTAACCGTGTATATGAGTATCTGTGTGTATAACTACATGCGATTGTTGGGTACCTGTTGCGGCCAGAGGAGGGTGTTAGATCCTCTGGAGCTGGCTTTACTGCTAGTGTTGAGCCTCCTGATAATGGGTGCTGGAATTTAACTTGATCAAGAACAGTGCTTTTTAAGCGTGAGCGTCTTTCCAGCCCCAAGAGCTTCCTGGTTTGACGGCATTCATTGATTGTAAAGGAGCTCCGCTTGTTTTGTTCTGGAACTGTCTCTCCTCAAAGCTTAAAGTCACTTGATGTATTTAAGTTAAGAATTGAGCTGGGTGCTGCCATAAACACAAAACCCATTCTAAGGTGGCTCTCTCCCAGAATCAATTCATGTCCAATATAACAGTTATTTTTACTTCTATCAGCTACTTTTAAGTTACATAGGTAATAGCTCAAAGGAAATGAAAGATTAGTTTGAACAACTAGTGTGAACAAATCTAGCACATGTGGTTTTGTAACGCTAAGAATGCTGTATACAGATGAACATTTGCAGTTGATTTAATGCTGAGGAATACCCACTTGAAATCCAGTTAAATTAAATATTACCACTTCTCCCTAAAAAAACCAAACATACTGTTACCTTCTCCCCCCCTCCTTTTTTTTTTTTTTTTTTTTTTTTTTGAGACAAGGTTTCTCTGTGTAGCTTTGCGCCTTTCCTAGAACTCATTCTGTATTCCAGGCTGGCCTTGAACTCACAGAGATCCGCCTGCCTCTGCCTCCCGAGTGCTAGAATTAAAGACGTGCGCCACCACCGCCCATTTTGTCTTTTCTTTATATCTGAATGTATAGACAATTATTCACCGAGACTCCTGAATCAGAAAACAATTTATGAGATTTGTGTTAAGAGAGCATAATTAGCTATGTTTTTCCTGTATTCACCAAAGGACTCATGTCACAAATGTAAAGATCTGACATGTGTTCTTTTTTAATTAAGTTTTTACAGTTGTAAGATTGAGATTCTAGAGCAGACTTTAGAAGTGTTTCATATTGTCAGATTCTCTAGTCTTAACTATGTTATTTGGAAAACAGCATGAGGTAGGTTGTTACGGCAGCTTTTTGGCTAGCATTTGAGGTTTCGTCAATTTATTTCTGCTTTAAACAGCCACTAATTATGGTGCCTGCTAAATTAACCCTCAGTGAGGGGGTGACTGCTTGCATGTATTAAAACTTTTCATTTGCTCATTTGTCCCTTGAGGTAAAGGTATTTGTTATAGGCTCTCTCTGAATTGTTTAAATTTGGGGGGAGGAGGAACTTTTTGATATATAGAAAAAGAATTAGAATTCTGAAGTTTAAAAGTATAGAGAATTTTTGTGGGTTTGTTTGTTACAGTTTATTTATTTTTATTTTATGTACATTGGTGTTTCGCCTGCATGTCAGATCTTGGAGTAATCGACAGTTGTGAGCTGCCACGTGGGTGCTGGGAATTGAACCTAGGTCTTAAGAAGATCAGTCAGTGCTCTTAACCACTGAGCCATCTCTTCAGCCCAATTTGTTTTGTTGTTTATGTACCAAAGTGTCCTCAGTGTGAGAAGGAAAAAGAGCAGAGCATCCTTTCCTGGTGACGTTACTCCCAGCACTCCTCTTCAGAACTGCGTTTCTGGAGGAATCCTGGTTTCTAGGATTCCAGAATCTCTCCAGATTCTAGAATCTTCTCCCCTGAGAGAAGGTTGAGTGCCACCATCAGAGTAGGGTTGTGATTCAGAAGAGAGAAACCAGGGCCTGTAATTCTCCTTTTTAGGCAATAGTAATTCTCTAACTGGCTAGTCTTCAAGAAAATGTGTATTCTGGGTGCTGGAGATGCAGTTTAGCAATGGAGTGTTTGCCGTGTCTGCATTTGGCCTTAGTCCTACTTCCCAGACTGAAAACCCTTGCTGGAAATGTCTGTGTCAGGATGGAGAGACAGCCCCGTCCGTGGTGGAGTGCTTGCCGCTCTTGTAGAGGGCCTGGGCCTGATGCTCAGCCCCAATAGTGCTGTGACTCACACCCCCTCGTAAGTCCAGCTCCAGCATCTGCAATCACATACTCAAACAGAAAAACAATTCAAAATAAAAGACATCTTAAAAGAAAAGAAGATGCATGTTTCTATGTTTTTAAATTCTGTGTTCGACAAACCTTTATTGTGCTCTGTATCAGGCCACAGAAGTAACTAAGATACAGTCCCTTTAAGAGGATTGTCCTCTTCCTGGGGGAAGAAACACACCAACCAGTGACTCAAATAAAAATGCCCCTTTACTGGTTTGATGATGTCGCTTTGCTAGTTAGTGTTAGAAGGAGAAAGCAAAGAGGGCCTTTGGTCTGTGCGAGCTCATTGAGATGCTAATCTCTGTAGGTAGGGCTCAGCAGATGGGAAAACTGCCTCTTTCTTTTCAAGGCCAACCTGCCCCTGCTGCAGCGAGAACTGCTGCACTGTGCCAGGGCTGCCAAGCAGACCCCATCCCAGTACTTGGCTCAGCACGAGCACCTTCTGCTCAACACCAGTATCGCATCTCCTGCTGACTCTTCTGAACTGCTTATGGAGGTTCATGGAAATGGGAAGAGGCCCAGTCCAGAAAGGTGAGCAGAGAAGAGATCTGTTCTGTTTTCCTGGAGTTGCTCTTTGCTTTAAAAGAATGAGAGTTTGGCTGTTGATTTGTAGACAGATAATGTCTTAGACTTTCCAAGATTAGTTTTCCTTTGTCGCAACACCTCTCTGGGTGCCTCACTGCACATTCCTGTTGAGGAGCTTTGCCTAGAGTTTAGACAGGGTCACTGCTCCAGAAATGGAACACCCAGTCCCTCGCTCTTTCTCATTCAGCCACCAGCAAAAAAGATGTCTTTTACCAGATGTGTGGGGCCTTCACATCTGGTAAGCAGCAGCACCACAGCCAGTGTTAGTCTGTCTGTTACTGTCGTCCTCTACCTCAAGATATAGCCGGCTCCACAAGTTGAATGAAGACTCAGCTCATGACAGGTCTCAGGTTGTGATTGTGAGTAATATAATCATGCCACAGCAATGCAGGAGTTGTTGAGGAAGCAGTATTATGAACAATAGAAAGCTTACTACAGTTGAAGCTGAGTGACTAAAACCCTGCCAAGTCACAGAGGCAGTTTTCTTCCCAGCTACTCACCTCTATAATGTCGAATTTGACCTTCAGCATTCCTAAACTTTGTCAAACCTTGTCGTATTCAGTTTCTCCTGTCCTGTGTCATAATTAGATGGTTCTGCTTACTGGACCTCTCTTCTTCACACTGGAATAAACAAACATTGACACGTTGTGTCTGGCCCCTGAAGACAGTTCAGTTCATGCCTCTTGTTAAACCGTTCCTGAGCTGGGTACAGGCACGCACACCAGAAGTCACAGCTACTGCAGAGGCCCTGAAGTCCAGTCTCTGGAGTTTGGCTGAAGAACAGTCTGGGAAACATACTGAGATATGGACTGCTGGGCTGGGAGTGTCGCAGTATGAAGCATGTGCTTTGCACATGGGCTGCAGCACCAGATAACCATGCCTGCTTTGGAAAGGGCATAGTATCTGAAGGTTCGGTTTTCTGTGAGGTGAGTTGCTGGAAAGAAGCAGCTGTCCTGAGACTTGGTAGGGATGTTAACATGAGCTCTTCTTGACAGGCTCCTATAAGCACTTCTGATTCTTCTACAGGAGGGAAGAGAATAGTTTTGAAAGAGATACAGTTCCTCCTGAACCACCTGCCAAGAGAGTGTGTACTATCAGCCCTGCTCCCCGGCACAGTCCTGCCCTCACTGTGCCCCTCATGAATCCTGGGGGCCAGTTCCATCCTACCCCACCACCTCTTCAGCACTATACTTTAGAAGACATTGCAACTTCTCACCTTTATCGGGAACCCAACAAGATGCTAGAACACCGAGAAGTTCGTGAGAGGCACCACAATCTTAGTAAGTGATCTCAGCTGCACAACAATGCTTTAATCTGGAGGAAATCTGTGGATTGTTTTCCTATTCAGGGATAAAGCCAAATAATATCATCCATTGCCTTTTTTCTGTTGATAAGATGATGTTATGCAGCTCGACTTAGTGGCCCGTGCCTGTAATTCTAGTACTATAGAGGCTGAGGCAGGGTGATCAGCTCAGGGTCATCCTCAGCTACGTAAGGAGTTTGAGGCTAGCCTGTGCCATAGACAAAAAATAAAGGGCTGGGCATGGTGGCACACATTTGTAATCTTAGCAGTCAGAAGAATCACCCCAAGTTTGAGGCTAGCGTGATTTACCATGAGGATTAGGGTTAGGGTTAGGCCAGTTAGAGGGGCTTTGGTGCCACATGTGTAACCTGATGGATATTTGTAGATGCAATTCTAAACGGTCTTATTAAATAAGAAACACAGAGCCAAATGCAGAGTTTAAAGCCCAAGAGGTCAGAGCAGTAGCGAAGCCTTTAGCTTACCACTCACTGCTGTCCTTCCCCTGAGAGAGAGACCTTCTTTCTGTGTCCTGTCTTTTTATTGTCTTTCTGTTCTGCCTTCTCATTGGCTTTAAACCCAACCACATGATTTCCTCATCACTGCCTGTCTATACAGACCTCAAGGTCTCTATGGTTCGTACTGAGATTAAAGATTCGGATCACCGCTTGGCTGTGTCCTTGAACACACAAAGACTCTGCCTGCCATGTGATCGGATTAAGGGCATGTGCCACCACCTCCAGACTTCTGCTAAATGGCTTACTCTTAGCTCTGATCCCCAGGCAACTTTATTTATTAGCATACAAATAAAATCACATTTCAGCACAAATAAAATATCACCATAGATATTGCTTGGGCTCTTGAGCCTAAGAGTAATAACTTCTGAAATGAATGAAGATAACATTATTCTTTGCTCTTTTGTTAGGTTTGAAATGCCTGAAGCATAGGCCTATGTAACTATTAAATTTAGGAATAAACACTCCCATTTAAAAAACCCAGCGAGATCCAGGACAGGCACAAACTACACAGAGGAACCCTGTCTTTAAAAAAAAAAAGAAGGAAAAAAAAATCACAGATCCTAATTTGAGATAAGTTTTGAAAACAGCTTTTTGTCCATTCTCTTTTGTAAATGAATATTTGGATTTTAATTCCTCAGCATCTGTCGGGCAGAAAAACAAAACAAAAGGCTGCCATCTTGTAGGGTTTCCTTTGCACTCCATTTGCTGGGGTACCTTGTGGAGAACACATTGACTTTCCCACTCTGAACTAGGCATACCCTCACTAGGGTCTCATGCTTCCTGCAGTTCTTACTGAGAGTGACGGCCGTGAGAGCATTGTCTCCATGCGTTTCCTGAGTCTCAGCTACCACTGCATCGTTTGATTCTGTCTTTCCAGAAGGTCAGAGCAACTGTACCCACTGTAACATAGCTACCAAGTGGCCTTGACCAGATTCAGTGCTGAACCGCCTGATGTTGAGGTTGGCTATGTCGGCAGCAGGTACTGAGACACACCGTCCTTGGTGTCCAGTTCTTACTCTCCCATGCCTTATTGTGTGTTAAAAACTAGGCTGGGGGTCAGCAAGATGGCTTAGTGAATAAAGGTACTTGCCATGTAAGCCTGGGGACTGGAGTTTGCTTCCTGGAGACAGTTAACTCCAGAAAGTTGTTCTCTGACTCCAGGTGTTATCATAATCATCATCATGCGCACACACAGACATAAACAATAATATTAAATTGTGTTTTTTTTTTTTTTTTGGTTTTTCGAGACAGGGTTTCTCTGCGTAGCTTTGCGCCTTTCCTGGAGCTAACTTGGTAGCCCAGGCTGGCCTCGAACTCACAGAGATCCACCTGGCTCTGCCTCCCAAGTGCTGGGATTAAAGGCGTGCGCCACCACCGCCCGGCCCTAAATTGTTTTTAAGAACGAGGCTTGCTATTGATTTTTTTTCTCTTCATATGTAACATGAATCTTAAAAGGTCTTATTAATAAAAACAAACCTGGGGCCAGTTATTGGGGTGAGAGACAGAACACGCCACAGCTAACCTTACCTCGACAACTTCTCAGCTGATCTTGTTTCCTCAACTGGAAGCTTCACCTGAATGGATCTCAGCTGAACTGCTGCTAGAATCCTAAAAGCTTAACCAGGCTCTAGTTCCTGGTCCTCATGCCTTATATACCTTTCTGCCTCCTGCCGTCACTTCCTGGGATTAAAAGCATGTGTCACCGTGTCTGGCTGTTTTCAGTGTGGCTTTGAACTCACAGAGATTCAGACAGATCTCTGCCTTCAGAATGCTAGGATTAAAGGCGTGTGTGCCACCATTTTCTGGCCTCTATATCTAGTGGCTGTTCTGTTCTCTGAACCCAGATAAGTTTGTTAGTGTTCATAATATATTGGGGAACAAAATATCACCACATTTGTACACAGTTTCTGCCCATTTAAAATAGAAGAATAGTGAAAGCTAGGTGTGGTGGTTTGAAAGAAAATGACCCCCAAAGGGATGGCACTGTTAGGAGGTGTGGCCTTGTTGGAGAAAGCGTGTCACTGTGGAGGTGGGCATTGAGGTCTCTTGCTCAAGATTCCCTCAGTGTGACTGTCAGTTGACTTCCTGTGGCCTGCTTATCAAGATGTAGCCAACACCCAGTCTGCTTGCATGCCGCCATGTTCCCCACCATGATGCTAATGCACTGAACTTCTGAAACTGTAAGCGAGCCACCCCAATTAAATGTTTTCTTTTTAAGAGTTGCTGTGGTCATGGTGTCTCTTCACAGCAATAAAAACCCTAAGACACTAGGTATAACTGTTTTTTGTTTGATTTTACTTATATTTCTCATAATTTTAGAAAATGTATATTGACATCTGGAAGTGAACTTTGAAATGTTGGTCACCTGCCATGATGACTCCACCAGATTCATCAAAGATTCCTTTGTTTCCTTAGACCTGTACTATTATACTGGTCTGCATTCATCAAACCACCACATGCCCCTCCCCCTAACTGAATCAATACGTCCACTCCCCTTTACTCTCCTAGAATGAAATCTATGGACACTATAGCCTACCTTAGATCTGTAATTTTAGGATCTATAGTCAGTGCAATATACAAGACCATTACCATAGCAACTCTTATAAAAGAAAGCATTTAATTGGGGCTGGCTTACCGTTTCAGAGCTTTAGTCCATTATCAGCATGGCAAAAGCATGGCAGCACACAGGCAAACATGGTGCTGGAGAGGTCTGGATCTGAAGGCAGCAGGAAGAGCGAGCCACTGGGCCTGGCTTGAGCCTTTGAAACCTCAAATCCCACCCCCCAGGGCTGGAGAGATGGCTCAGAGGGCTGCTCTTCCAGAGGTCCTGAGTTCAGTTCCCAGCAACCACATGGTGGCTCACAAACATCTATAATGAGATCTGATGCCCTCTTTTGGCATGGAGGCAAAAACACTGTATAATAAATAAATAAATAAACAAATAAATAAATAAATAAATAAATAAATAAATAATCTTTAAAAACAAAAAAGCCCACCTCCAGCGATACACCTCCTAGTCCTCTCGAACAGTGCCCCCCTGGTGACTAAGCATCCGATTATGTGAGCCTGTGGGGCCGTTCTTACTCAGGCCACCATAGACAGCCAGCTCAACAGAGAATTTCTGACATTTTATTTTCCAGAATGTTGGCTATGAAATGCTAATATGAACAAAGGAAAGGGACATAGCCCCTGACAACTTAGAAGATGTTTATGAATGATATGTACTTCCTTCCTGATAGAACCTGCTGTGATTGTTTTTACAATTGAGTCGTTCAGAGTTTGGGAGTCGTGCCCCAAAAGTGCTGCCAATGGAACTCGGGGCCTAGTGTATGCCAGTTAAGCATTCTATCACTGAGCTATACTTCAGTCCCTGGAGTTATTTGATTTGAATACTAACTCTTTATTGCTTAGCATTAATGGTTGTGTCATTTTGTAGGTGTCACACCAGATATGTTAACTTACTCCCTTAGTAGTGTGCTCTAAGTTAACACAACTATGTACACTCGTTAGAATTCAGTTGCTCTGTATTCTTTAAATGTAATCCCTTGTTTCTAATAGGTCTGAATGGAGGCTATCAAGATGAGTTGGTAGACCACCGTTTGACAGAAAGGGAATGGGCTGATGAATGGAAACATCTTGACCATGTAAGAATCTCAGCATGTTTAATTTCCCTAAGTCCTTATTACTTATAAATCTTTAGAGTTTGTTTTGCTTTTTGTTATTTGTCTATTTGTGGGTTTGGTGTATATTTGTATGTACATGAATACTTGCATGCATGCACATTTGTGTACATGCCATAACTTGAATGTGGAGATTCAGAGGAACTATTTTGTCTTCTGGCTTGGCAGCAATTGCCATTTACATTCCTAATCATTTTGCCCACCCACTTTTGTTTTTCACTTTCCTATTCAGGCAGGTACCACTGCATCCAGCTCATTTAATTCTTAATGCTACTAGTAGTCCATGTGTGCTTGAAGTGGACCTTACTCCCCCCTCCCCCAGACAGGGTTTCTCTGTGTAGTTTTGGTGCCTGTCCTGGATCTCCCTCTGTAGACTAGGAGCTGGCTTCGAACTCACAGAGATCCGCCTGGCTCTGCCTCCCGAGTGCTGGGATTAAAGGCGTGCGGCGCCACCGCTGCTGCCGCCGCCTGCCCGAAGTGGACCTTACTTTTTAACAGAAGTTGGCTTATTCACCTCTTGCTGCAGAGTCACTCCTAAATCTTGGTGATAGGCTGATCTTCACCTCTCCAGTTCGTAAACCAAGTAGTCACGTAATAGATGGTTAAAGCAAAGGTTCCAACTTTGCTACTTAGTGCCGTTGTGAGCTGAGTAAACAAACTACCTACATCTGAACTTAGCCTTGATTTTTCTCTCCTTAAAAATAAGGTTCAGTGGAAGGACTGTGGGCAAAGGCACTTGCTGCTGAGCTTGAGAAACTGAGTTTGATTCCCAAGACGATCCACAGGATAGAGGGGAAGAACCAACTCTTACAAGTTGTCCTCTGACTTTACTCATGGGCCGTGGAATGTGCATGCAAACACACTCACACACTAAAATTGTGTAAGCTTTCTCCTTAAAAAATAAAGAAAGGAAGGAAGGAAGGAAGGAAGGAAGGAAGGAAGGAAGGAAGGAAGGAAGGAAGGAAGGAAGGAAG